TGTATATGTCTATATGTTGTGCACACCAACACGTATGCATTCATACACTTTTCTATCTATGTACAGGCTGAAAATTCACTTGAAAATGAAATCACATTTTGCAACACTAAACGCTAAAGTGAAACCAAACCATGATCAGAGTTGTTACTATTGCTCAACCACAGTTTTCACTTTGTTATATGACTCGTTCCCTTAATGCTTAGCAGGCATTTGCTTGGGACAAATGTCATTACAAGGAAGCTGAACAACCGATGATTGACAATTTCACCCCTCACTCAGGCGTCGGTGAACTGCTTTTGCCCCTAATTGGACGAATGGACCACTTGCTGGGCTGTCGTTGGTCTTTCCTCCTGATTTTTAAATAACTTGGCAGCTGTTCTGGGAACATTGCCAAAATTCTCGCGAACTATCCACAAAAAACTGTTTCTCAATTAAGCTGCAACAAAAAGTAGACAATGTTCTGGTGGTAGCGACGTACATAGCTGTCAGTATCACTCTTTTTTTTTTTCGATACTATGACGACGAGTTGGCAAGGTCAGAAATGTTCGAATCCTACAAAGAGGGGCCACACATAGTTGCTTAACAACATTTGAGGATTGTCGGGTGCCGCCGTGGCTGAGGGCTTAAGATGCAGCCTGTGAACTGCAATGTCCCAAGATTAAATAGAACAGCGGACCTTTTTGGCCTATCTCTCTCCCTTATTTCCTGTCATCTCTAAACAAAAATGGCAAAAAAAACCAAAACAAACAAACAACGTTTTGGCTTTTAGAGAAACAGCAAATACTCATAATGTATTTTAGTAATTGTTTAACAGTTTCTGGAACATATTCACATGCCCCTCGGGCCATACCAGATGAAAATGATCAACGTTGTGCTTTTGTTTGTTTGGAGATTTGGTTTTCACAAATAATAAAAGTACAAGAGCACGCACAGCGTTTAACACAACTCTCAAGAGAATGGGCAGGGATGGAATGGACATTGGACAGTGTTCAGTCTTTCACAGAATTTATGTCATCAGTACTGCTCATCACTCTTGCTCTGTTGTGTGTGTGTGTGTGTGTGTGTGTGTGTGTGTGTGAGGGAGTGGTCCTGAGGAAGTGCACACCCTGACAATATCCCAGCAGGGAGGGAGGACACGGTTTTAACCTGTTAACCTATAACCTAATCCTCTTAGGTAACTGGGACCCAGTCACATCTGCTAGGATACACACCCACAGCTGGAGAAGGAATAGGTTAACTGCCACCACTGTGCAATAACAAGGCCATCCAATCTTGTATTATGAGTGAGACACACTGCAACTGTCTTTTCTGGGTCCAACATCGCATCTCTCATCTTGAATGAATGTGACCTCTGTGTGTACTTGGCTCCGACCCTCCGACTCATGTCTGTGTGTAAAAGTAGGAGAGAGCCAAGGAGATCCATGTTTACTTCAAAATCATCCAGGGGGATTGAACCCGCACGCTCCTATCTAGTAGACACGCGGCAAAGGCATCCCATCCTGCAGGGTCTGCTGCATGAACCCAAATACAGCTGTTGGTTCTTTCATCTCACCAGCACTTAAGGGAAACCCAGAGGAGCAAACACCCAGTTCAGAAAGATGATGAGTATGGACCTCCACTGGACATCCATGCCCACATATCAAAAAAATAAACAATTACAGGATTATCCCAAAGGCATGACACACATTTTCATGATCACATCCATATGAGTTACTCCCATTTAATAGAACTGGTTAGCTCTCCACCCAGTATTAAAATTTTCTTATTCTTTGTCTGTGGTCAATCTGAGCTTGTTGTATCTCATGATCCGCCATATTTTGGTGCCACATTCTGATTAGGCATGCTTAAAGCTTTATAAGCTGTAATTAATGGCTTTAATGATGTTCAATCAGTCATTTACTGATGCTTTTTAAGTTATCAGCCATTCATTAGAACAACTTTTCGGTTGCCACTTCTTTTGTTATAGCTCTTTCATCAGGACCAGAATCCACTTTTAAAGAACTTAGACTTTTTTTTTTTTTTTTTACAGCTGCAGACTCGAAGGATTATTTCAAAAAATACTTTATTTATGCTTTCTTTACTCCATGATACTTTAATATTCTACAATAGATCCATCTGCGTCTGCTCTTTTAAGAGCATCATAGACATGAGGACGTGAAGTTACCATTAAGGTCTCAACTCAGTCCTGGCTGGCAGCGATACAGATGCTGAGGGCCACACCCCTCCAGGAGCGGCAAAGTAACTGGGAGTTTACCGTCTGTCTTTCCCGGGGCGAACGGCCACAGAGTTACCAGCCATTCAACACACACACACACACACACACACACACACACACACACACACACACACACACACACACACACACACACACACACAAGCAGTGCAGTGCACCAAGAGTTCAAGAGCGCTGGTGTGTGTTTAACAACATTTAAGGGGAGTGGAAATATCTGGGGGAAGTATTGAGTTTATCCATCCACTTTTCTTTTGGTCGGGACGTCGCTGTGCACGTGTCATACTTTTAACTGCGTTTCTTTGTGCGTCGGGCAACTTTCAGTGAGACGTGGGCATGTGTTGCATGTGAGAGCAGACGAAGTTGAGTGCGCAGGTAAGATGGAAACAACGAACATCGATAATTATGATATGAACGCGTAATTTATTCAAACCTGAGAACTCTGGACACTTAAATGCTCGTTTAAATGAAATTGTTCCATGATTTTCATGTCGTCCTCGTGATATGAGTTACTATTAAAGTATAAGCAATTTGATTGTCTAAAGGACCAGTACAGGTTTTCGTTTCATGTTTAACTTCATGATACAATGTTTCTGACACAACAGAGTTTGTAGATCTTATATTTTAGATTTCTTTCAAAATTTACACATTTTCCTTTTCTGTTAACGTGTTTGTGTATTTTAACATATATTTTCGAAAACTTCTCCATCTTTATCCTTCTCCCCTTCAAAATCAGGGTTATCCAAAATGTCAACTTATAAGAAATTCAGAAAGCAAAAACCTTTTCAGGATAGTACAATGGCTTTTGAAAAGACTGTTAGCCTAAGATGTAGGACAGTTTTAACAACCTGTAAGGTGCATGTAATCCTTTAATCACCATTCTTGGTAATAACTGCTGTTCACTGGAGAGCAGTGATGTGTTTCTTAATGGTGCGAGCAGTCCTGTGTAGAAAGGATTGCAGTAGTGTAGAGGCTCATTAATGTGAAAATTTATGTATTTTAATTTATTTAGCCTGTTCATTTGAAGCAGTTGGCTTTTCTGCCTCAAATGAATGCATCAGTATTTTATTTTTCACCACTGAGAGATCTGTGGAGGTACAGATATATGTTAGGAGTTGGTGGAGTGGCAGAAGTTTGGTGTTGTGTTTGATGAGTGTTGGGACAGTGTCTGAGGAGGGAGTGAGAGTGGGGGGCTCCAAATACCCTCAAATTGAATGTGACTAGTTGCACTTAAGCAGAATATTCGCATTCCGCATCTACAGTACATTAAACATGTCGTAATGAATATACTTGCTTTACTTATGAAGCTCATTGACTGTGTGTATGCCCTACGGTGTTTCTGTGGTTTACTGTGCAGCGGGAGAGGAATTAAAAACAAGAGGGACAGTCATGTAGTTATTTAGCCGTCTTTCTCCTACCTGTGTATCTTACAGTCTCCAGGAGCCACTCTCCACTCACTGCGCTTCTTAAGGTTTATCTAACTCCCTACAAGGAGCTTTGGGTCGAGCGGGTTGTTGTGAGAGAGGCAAGGAAACTGTGGAGGGAAGGAAGAGAGCGGGAGACATCGCAGTTGTGTGGGTATTGATTTCTCTGGCAGTGTTTCAGGTTTTTTCGATCAGCATGACTCAGGTAAATAAATGATTTCTGCTTCGGGCCACAGAGAGACAACTCAGAAAATCCGCTCTGATTTTCTCCTTTAGACACTGTCCGTTTGTTACGTCAGTGGGATGGTGTCTGCCAGGCATACTAAATACAGACCGCTGTATACAGGCAGCTACAGGTTTACTCAGCTGGGGATGAGCCAGGCTGCCGAAATCACTGCCTGGAGATGTGCGCCTGTGAGCTCTGGGGACTTTGAGGGGACTTTTGTTAGGTGACACACACTTTGTGGCTGAAACTGCATCCTAATCTCGTCTTTGTGAGAGCTGGTGTGATTGGGGAAGTAGATTTGATAATAAGTTATTACCTGAGACTGATTGAAGAGTTTTTGTCAGGGTGTGCTATATCAATCAATTCAAACCCATGCTGTGTTAACCCTGGGCGTCCTGTGTGCTCCTGTTCTGCCTAGTGTGCAGGGCGTGATCCATCATTACCCTAAAAAATCACAGCATCAATATTCAGCTGTGTTTTCAATGGCCTACAGCACCATTCCTGCGCTCCATGACAGCGTCATGCAGTTCACGCGGAGGCTTTTTCCTGGACGGTGATGAAAACTCAAAAGTGAAAGAGTGCTTTCTCAAAACTCAACAGGTTTTGGGTGGAAAGTGTTATTAAAACATACTTGTAGCCATGCTGCACACTGGTGTAGCCTTATATGGTCATGTTTCCAGAATTCTTCAGTGGAGACAGACAAAAGCAACTAGGGCACCTTCGCTGCAGTGGTGATGTTAGTATGTTTAGAGAGTCTACAGCGGCTAGGTGTCAATGACTTGCGGACAGACAGCCTGGCTGGGTTGGCGTGCCCTGCAGCTCTGTGGCCTCTGTGTTTCCCGTGTCTGTAATGAACTGTATTGAGGCTGGTCAGGAGATAACCGCATAACAAAAGCCTCTCCAGGGTTGAGAAAAAAAAAAAACCCAAAAAAACCCCAATAGATTTATGCCCCACATTTGCAGAGGACAGTAATGCTCTTGAGAGGAGTTGTTGCATAGCATACAAGGGTGTACCCTCGTATCCTCAGGCCATCGAGAGACAAGTGAGAGCACTTAGAGCTGTCAGTCACTGTTTTCATGCCCTATTGCTTCCATCTGCCTACTTCAGGATGGTATTATCTTACACACACCGATATGTTCATACATGCAGACACTCATACACATTTGAGTTGCATGCCTGGGTCATGCCCCGTTCAGCACGTGTAGAGTTACTTGGTTTGTTGTCCCTTATCAACAAACCAATCAGCATTGTTTATGTATGTGGCGTCGTCTTGGTTACGTGGTTTGCTCTCTGTTGTGAATAGGCGCTCGACTTTGTTTCCACCTCATCTTTTTTCCATTTCCATCTTCTCTATACAGACGAGTTAAAGCACGGATCCAGTATCACTTCCCACCCCACCCCACACCCACCCCCACCCCCACTCTCCCACCCTTCCATTCACCTTTGGTGTGACGGCAGACCTGAGCTGGCACCGTTTCAGTTGCATGTGGTTTAGCTGAGGAGCTGTGGGCCCTGTCTTCTATTCTACATAGATCGGAGGATTAAACTGCAACGTTAAGCATAAAGCGGGTCTGTAACAAAGGCAGCGCGAGCACTATTATCTGGCTGTGGTGTATTTGGTTACCATACCAGCAGTTGCACAGAGTATTCTCTTACCAGGTTTTTCAGATAACAGCTTGGGGAGGGACAAATTGTGGACAGATAGGACCTCAGGGTTGGAATTTTATCCATCTCCTTTGGTTTTTCCCCACAGACACACTCTTCACTTCCAAAACGGAAGGAATTCCTCTGGAATGTCCTCTTGTCTGGGCATTACCATACCATCCATTTCATGCCTAGAGGTTTCAAGCAAAGTGGGATTTTCATGTCTAATGTAGTGTTGTGAATGTGTTTATATGATTCAAAACAGGGCTCTGAGAAATCCTCACATAAACTCTTTTGCTAGGTCAGTGGAGTTAACTGTCAGGACTCTGCAGTGTGAGAGGGACATTATAAAATCCGGCAGCTTTGTGGAGATCTGATTTATTGGATTTATTAGAAGGTAAACGACTGCAGGAAATACAGACTTTCCTAATGGCAAGGGATCAAATGATACCTCTTCTAGTCCATGGAGAGGTATCAGGTATCCTTACCTAACATGTGCTGTGCTATTCATTCATTCATTATTTAGGACTAATTTACTGCAGCATTTTCAACTTCAAAGCCCATCTCTGTCTCAATCACCATGTTTGGATGATTGAATTTTGTGTGTGTAAGGGGATATTTTGGCAATTTATTTTCCATTCATTTTTTGGAGTGATATGTAATTTCCCAGGAGATGAGCATGCTGTGCTGATAGATACGGTGTTTCACTCAGATAAGGTGCGGTAATGCTTGTGGTTGAAATCTAAAATGAAACACAGCTTCCTGCCTTGGTGTTTACTTTATGACTTGAGTAAACAAATTACAGAGAAATGAGCAAGGGATACTGTAAAAGTTGCCAAAAAGCTTCAGTATAATAGTATGTAGGTTGAGGGTTTTGATCTCGGTCCAGAATAATCTTTCATTGCCGCAAGGATGATTTGTTTCATATTTACAGCATACAGTAAAACACAGTGAGATCTGCACCAACTGTGTGTATTGACATTGTTTACGCAAAATAGTTTAGACAAACGTGAGAAGATGTTGGACCATTCAGATCAACATTATTACTTTTTATTAGCAGCATCTGCACCTAGAGCTGACAGTGCTATTTTACTATGTGTCTAAAATCATTAATCTTGTTATAGAAAGTGAAACAACGTATCCTTCTCCTAAAATATATAGTATATTACAGTGCCAAGACATAAAGAGTAAGAGTGGTGCTTGTCTGTATTTGGACAGTGTTGTGTTTCTGTCTTTACTGCCATCTATGACTGGAGTTATAGCTAGCAGAACAACATTAAAATTTAATGCTCCTTGTGTGTGCTTTATAGTTTGTGATTAGTGAAAACACAAACAGTGTGGCCTGGTGGCAGTACGGTATTTTCCCTACGAGAAATGAACTCACACAGTCTCACAGGGGAGTTACATGCTTGCTTAAATGCAATGCCATGCAAAAAAATAAATAAAAAAGATGATTGACCGGTGCCAAGAAAAACAAGTGATGTCTTGAGAGCTAGAAACAATTACCTATGTTGTTATGCCAGGTCAGTGACTGTGGTCAGGGAATAAAGACAAATAGCTGCGCTAATGCACTCTGTCCTGTGGAGATGGAGGGGTTTGATAATAGTGTACTCTACAGAGCACCTGGGTGTTGCTAAATGCCTCATTGAGGGTGGTCTCAGTGTAAGAATACCCCTGGCCGGAGCACTTCTCCACCATCTGCTCCCTCCTCATGACTGCTGACAGCTTCTACCGGGAATATTTAATCATTTAATTTCAGCTACTTTAAATTTCTTATATAACATCCAAATGTCTTGATCTTGGGCCATTGCTGATTGATTGTTTAATGGCACATACAGGCCTACTCTGTATTTCTTTGATGTTGAGCCCAAACCGGAGAAGCCACTTTATTTGAAGAGGTGACATATGTAAGATGCTATATGTTGGGCACCAGCAGCACTGTACTGGCTGCAGGCTTTAAATCTGTCACCATCGCCATCAGGATTGTTTCCCATCACCCCCTGCACCGTGTGCCGGCCATGATGCCAAAGACAACAGGGACTTTAGCTGCCAGGAAACAGGGGTGTTAGCTTAACCCACATGGCACAAGCTGTGTGTTTCTCCTCCTCACCTCTCTCTCTCCCTCTGCCTCATTCTTTTTCTCTATCTCTCTTTCCATCTCCATTATTCACTCGCTTTCTGCGGTATTGAATGACTGGCAGATCCTGTTGTCATCCTTTTTCTCAACAGATGGGGAGTTTTTAATGCTTCTCTTCCAGCACTTGAGCTCTCTCTTTTGTTTGGGGGTCATTCTTGTAGAGGGGTGCCGCACACAGGCCCGTAATGCTGATAGATGGTGGTACTCAAGCAGTGAAGAGAGATACATTACTTGAACGCTATTCACTTGGGTGAAACCGTGTCACTGCTCCCCTGAAGATACTTTTGGGAGGACAGGCCCCAAAACCAGCACTTTAACCGTCGCTCACAGAGTGTGCAAAGACAGCACAGAGTGAAACCTCCTCACTGTCTCCCTCTCTCCGCTGATTGCCCATCCATCACACACAGCTCTCTATCTGTATTTCTAACCCTGAAGGTGTGAAGGTGCCTCAATTTGTCATCTTAAATAAACAGCAGTCTGTTTATCAGGGTGTAATCCTCCCCAGTTTAAAGCCACGGGGGGCTTGGATGGGTGCCACTCTGCCTTGACTCTCCCTGAAAGTTCAAAACAGTGGATGACAAAACTGGACGGGAAAAATAAATGAAGTGAAATGATAAATGAAATGAAATACTTTTACAGCTTGTATCTGTCTGCCAACATGCCATTGTACGTTTTATCACACAATGCAGATCTGTGTGCGTTGGCGTGAATGAATAGGAATGTCACCTTATATAATTTCCTAGGTGCTGCATAGACAGTATTTTTGCAGTGACTGTGTCTTCTCTTGTCTATGTGTCCAAATCTTCCAGCTGGAAGCATCATGCTTGGCTTCAGCCTTTAAGATGTGAGCGTGTTTGCCACAGCAGATCTATTCATTTAGGCTGACATTGTTTATGTTGTCACGAGTGGATGCTTGTTATCTGAGATGGGTGTGGAAGCAAATGAATGAGGGAGATGTAGCAATAAGGTCTGAGGGGAGGAGGCATTCTTTTGATGCATTCTTTGATTTTGTCATCGATGGTCTGGTTAATTAGTAGCTAGATGGCTGTGGAGTGTGGACGGTGCAGGAATGCAGGCCAAGTAACATCAAACATAGAACAAGACTAATGTCTATGTAATTGTGCTGATTTACACATGATCCCGAATAAATCAGGAACATTTCATTCAGGAAGTTATCCGAGTTCAGATTCATAGATACATATAAATGATTAGGTCCAGGTTCTTTGGCATAATATCTTGTTTTGAAGGGTTTCAAGTATCTTGAAAACATTGAATATAATCCTTGATTCAAAGTTACACAGATATTAACACTCTCTTAATAGAAAGTGACACTAAAGAAAAGAAAACCCTCCCTGCCAACTTATATTGTTAGTTTAATGCCCGACAACACACACTGTAAGTTATAGGGTATTGGAAATCAATGAAAAGATTAACATCTACACATTAACTCCAAACCACCAAATTTATTATTATGGACAACTGTTCAATCCCAGTTGGATGTTTGTCAGGTCAAAATAACTGATTGAAACGTTGTCACGTCTCCAGTGGTTAAAAGTTCCTAGTTCCTGACTGAACATAACCAAAAACAAAAAAAAAGATCAATTTTCTGCAATGTTCCTGCTTTGCTCTACGTTCAATTACTGCACATCACTCTAGCTCTCCTTGCTTATTAGCGACAGAAAGGCCAGTGAATGTTCCCATGACTGTTTGCTCATACAGCGCACTTTTCACAGTGTCTGAACTAATGTCTATGCTACAGGCCTCTTTAATGCACTGTGAAGTCCCTGATAGGACATGGCCCATTTTTTTTACAGGACATAAAGGAGGAGCTGACAGGGTCATCAGCCAATGCTAAAACCATTGGCAATTATCATTAAGGTGAAGAATTAAATGAGTTATCCGTGTGAAAAGGAGATGGAGGAGAGAGGGAAACTGAAAGATAGCAGAATGTGACTGTTTTGTTCCCCTGACCTTTGTTTTGGGCAAACAGATTTAAGGGTGACACAAAAGGAAATCCAGTGACAAGCAACAGCTGATGTAGGACGGGTAAAGAGAGGGGACATGCCTGGAGGGCTCCATGGTGAAACGTGTGTACATATCCTGTGTGAAGTTTTAGATGAGACTGCACACACACACATGCACACACACACACGCACACACACACACACACACACACACACACACACACACACACACACACACACACACACACACACTTATGATTGCTCCTCCCTAGCTTGACTCTCTACACTGGTCTCCCTCCAGGGTTGCTGAAAAGGACAGAGTGAAAACGGAACAAGACCACTCCACACACCATGAAGAAAGAGCGCTCTGATGATCAGAGTATAAATGAAGTTGGGGCTCTGTTCAGCATGTCTGGCAGTAATTATGACGGCAAAGGGAAGAGGATTAAGGTACTATCCCATCCTGGGCTCCCATTAGTGGGATTGATGTTTTTGGCCACCCTCCCTTTTGGAGCAAGCATCAAACAGAGTGTCCCCAGGGTCAAACTCAGCCACAGAGGTAAGAACTGAAATATTGTTGATTTGTCTTTTAATGTTATTGTAATTAGCTATTTACATTTACTTTGAAACTTGGATACTATTTTACTTTTTATCTTTTTGAGAGCAAAATAAAGTTTTGGTAATTTGAGGTCATTTTGCATATTTTTATCTCAGTGTGCACGCACCTAGCTGGAGTTATAGCAGTAAACAAGGCAATTGACTCTGCTGATTCACACATGGCTCCCTTGTGTTTTTGCCTTTTTCATCCATTTTTTTTCTATTAGCATTTCACCCATTCAGTTTGCATCTTCTAAGACCTTCTTTAGCTTTGCCTATTTCTCTATATTAGCACTGTTAAAGTAGAATGAGGGATTTAAGATCTACTTACTGATCCATTAGCCCACTTCATAATTCCCTGTTTGTCACTTTTTATGAGCACGAGAATGTTTTCTGGCCACTTTTTGTGAAACACGAACACGATCTCTTAATCCCCTCGTCGACATAAATCCTTATTACATTAACCTGAAGTCAGGTTTATATTTTAAAAAATTCAAGACGGCGATGACAAAACGGCAAATGCCTGTTATAAATAAAATACACTCTTGTATTCGAAGTCTAAGTCACATACAGAACATACATTTCATTTCGATGCCCCTGGTCCATGGGAGACGGTCATTGGACCTGCTGTGTGTATATTAGCCAGTCTCGGCAATGCGCGCCGTGTCCATGTGTTTAGATTTGCGTCTGTTTGCTTTGTGCCACCAAGGGAAAGCTAAATTATTGCTCCCCTTAAAACCCATTCTAAACTCCAGTGCAAATGTTACTTCAAAGTCTCCATCCCTCATGCTATGTATCCGCTGCACACAACCACACAAATGAACTTCAGTCTTGCTCCATAAAATTGAATCCCCACTGTGACCTAAAAGTAAACTCACTCTGACTTCAACCTTCAAAATCTCTCTTCTGGTCAAAGGCTTCCAAAACCAGTATGGCTGGAAATAGACACACATGTATGGCCTGAGTGTCCAACATAAATATGTGTAAGTATCTGCAGGAATAATGATTGCTAGGGACAGTGTTTACTCAGCAGTTAGGGTAGTATTTAGCTCCACAGTTTGTTTTATTTCATGTTTGTTCCAAACCAACCAGATATAAGATATTGATAAAATAGAACAGGTCATTATTTCAGATATGATTGCGTTTTATTGGGTCTAGATGTTTGAGGCAAGTATTTTTTTCATATTCTGTCAGAATGTGTTTCTTGGCTTTGCTTCACCGCGTAGACTGTGAGCACGGCTGACTAAACTGTTCATTCAAGAGAAAGGCCGTCTGACTACAGTATGCAGTGGTTTCCTTTGGACCTCAGAGTATCAACAGTAGAACAATGTCCATGTTTGGCTCTTTCTGTCAGGGGAGACTTAAGCGAAGAAGAATCCATCAAAAGCAAAATCACCTCCAACCCAGTGCACACATCATGCACACAACTTGTCATCATCTCATCAGTGCACACTGCTCAAAAGCAACACCAGCCAGCAGTAATCACTCTTCAAACATCGCATCACCCTCCTGTGAAAGCGCAGCTTCAATGAGCGAAGGGTGAAACGATCAAAGTGAAATCATCTCTGAGTGGGTGAACACCTCCAAACAACTGCCTTCTAGTCTAAACCTGTGACCTTAACTCTGAAATCATCCCGAGTTTAAGTTTCATCCAGAGCCACAACATAGACAGTGTGGCCTTCTGCCAAATGAAAACATTAACTCATCTGCCCATGATTTAGATATCTGTAATATGATGTGTATTCAGATTGTTGCTTTTGTTCCTAATGTGTGAGCAACAGGATGAAGTTACACTACTATGCTACAGTTTATTAGTCATATACAGCGCAATAGAACAGCGTTTTTTTTAGGACATTTCGTTACATTTTTCTAAAAAGTTGTTAATAAAAGTTGTGAATAAATAATAATCAATAATTAAACTCCATTAAGTGAGCAAATTCACTTGGTAATGACAAATCAAAACACATTTCTGTGAATTAAATCCGGCTGTTCTTGTGCTCATGTTTAACAGCTTACTTCTTGACCTAACATTTGAGGCTGGCTGTGTCGTTGCTCTGTGTATCCTGAAACCATGGACGTCCTGCACTGCATATTAATGGCACTATGAGGCAGTGTTCATGCAGCATGAACACAGCGGCCTCATTTCGGCTTTAGCTTTAATGCAGCGATAATGATCAGTAGGTTTCTTCTAATGATTATTGTGCCTAAATGATGTGACTCTTTTTCCCAGCACATATGGCCGATTCATATGCAGAATCATTACAGCAACGTATCTTTCCCAGTTCATGCTCTCATTTCAGTGAGTCAGACAAAAGGAAACAATGAGGTTGATAAAGCAAGGCCTTACTTATGCTGAGGTAAGTTAGGTGGTCTACACTTGTATAATATCAGGCGTTATAGTATTATAGAGCTTAAGTCTAGTTTATCAGAAGAGCTTAAACCTGTTGGCAGTGAGCCAGCTTGGTGATGTCTTACTTAAACCACAGGCAGAGGAGGAATTGATCATGAGCTTTTGAGGCCTCTCTTCTTTGGGGAAAGGTGTGGAGCACTACGCTAAGCAGGGACAGCTAAGCAGGCTGTTTCAATGGGCTCATAGTGCTGTGTGTTTACAGAACAGATTAGCGTTAGCCAAGGGCTAGCAGGCCTAATCTCTCTGTGAGGTTTAGTCCGCTGCTGTGGCCATGATGTATGTGTGTGTGTGTAGGGGTGAAAGATATGAGCATGTGGGGGATGCTGTGTGTGTGAGCTAGTGTATAGGAGGAGGTATTAAGCAGGATTGTGTGGTGTGGAGGGGTCCTAGAAGTTCAAATATTGGAGGTTGGTAACCTCTTCAGTCCTTCACACCAAGAGGGTAATCACAATGTCAATCCTTTCAGAGTGACTCCCACAGGACTCCCCCGCGTTGAGCCAGTGTTTATTCAAGGCATGTTGCTATACTGGCGCAATGAAAAGAACCTGGTGATAGAAGAGATTTCCTCAGATCAAGGAGATCAAGGACACAGTACTGCACTGAGAATGTAGTCAGTTTTCAGCTCCCAGAAAACTCTTTATAATGAACTGTGGAAGATGGGAGTCCAAAGACCAGCTGATACTAATTGAAACACAGCCTATATCTAGTATATTCCACCTCTTTATCATCATATCATCATATAGACCTCTACAGCGAACCATACCATCATGTAATGTGTGAGCAACAGGTATTACACCTGCTCTCATCGTGATCTTATCTCATGTAGCCTTATGCCGCAGCCACAGCTCATGTTTATGAAGATGTTCAGTCATCTGTAAATCAGGCTTAGTCAGGAAAGTATGGTAGAGGGACAGGTCGTTTTTAGAAAAAATAAACCCCCATCTTCTTGTCACCAGCTGGTTTTAAACTGAGACGTACCTTTGTGATTAATGAAGTAGCTATGAAAATACCCTGATAGAGGAATGCACAACTGAGGTAATGTGTTACTGAAGTCTTTGCTACTGTATCTCCTCTCTGTCAGCGTGTGTAGCTAAGGTGTTGAACCACAGAGGATTAGGCAGCTTCAAATCAAGCCAAGACACGTTTTTTTTTTTTTTTTTTT